GGGGGGGGGTTGGTGCACACATATCTCTATTTTCAGACTGCTGTTTGTAACGGTCATTTTGCAAGCAGTTTTCGTTAAATGCTTCCTTTTGGACAACTCTCTCAAATTAATGTTAGAAGTGCATTCTTTTTTGTTGTATTTAAGATTTTGAAATTTCATTTTTGAGGAAGCCATTGGGCTTTTATATGCATACACATGTTTCAATGGCCAATAGAATGATAGATCAAAGTCACTGACCCCCTTTCCCCTTTCACAGTTGGTGCATTTTATAACTGAAATTTCTTTTGGAAACTTTTATAGGGTTGAAGATGCTGTCATTCGATATCTGAACCGCAAGACTGCTGGAGGAAGTGATGCTCCGGCAAGCACATGAAACGGAATTGTTGATTAACAGATGGGCTTCTATACTTGCTATTTTTAAATTCTTGCTTTCTCACCCTTAGGTTTTCGGATGATCTTTCTGACTACAGCAAATGATTTTTCCAATTTTACCATGTTGGATGGGGGGCTATAAACAGTAAAATGCTCATTAGCCCATTTTGTATCAATCTTTTTTTTTTTTTTTTTCTGTCATAAAGCTTCTTAGGTTGTAAACTTATTGATGAAAACATGGTTTCATTAGGTTTTTGGATGATCTCTCTCTCTCTCTCTCTTTTATATGCATATACCAGTTTATGCCTAATTTGAAATCTTGAAAATTCACATTCAGACTTCTGCATGGTGTTTAAAACTACTTCTATGGAAGTTCAGAAAAGTGCATATTTTTCTTTGGATGTTGATATTCTCGAAAACCAATTATATATGGTCCTTAATGCTCAGTCTATTCATAATCACATAATTTTAGAAATGAACAAGACCTTTCCTTTTTGATTTTGATATAAATGCCAAGCATGTGTTCATCAGATTATTTTACTTTGGGGTTGAAATCATGAATCTAGCGACTTTATAGTGTTGCTAAAGCAGAGTAGTAGTTTTTCTGGGGAAGTCATACAAGCAGTTTATATACTATTGGGGAAGGAACTGGTGTATGTAAGCACAATATATTGGAACTTCTATGTGATTGGATGTGTGGAATAAAAAAGTCAGTGGTGGTGAATCATATTGGTGTGAGGAACTTCTGTCTTAGGGGTTCAATGCCAAATGCTTAGACTTGGTTTCAGCTACAAGTCTCAAAAATAAGAATGGGTCTATTCATTGGCTTTTTTTTGTCTTGCTATCATAGAACCATTGATCAGCAAGATGAAGTGGTAGTTTTCCTATTCTAAACCACTGATCAGCAAGATGGAGAGGCAGCTTATTTGGCACTATTATATTCTAAATGATTTTAATGGGCTGAAAGCTGACTGTTTTAGTATCAGTGGCAGAAGGTCATTCTTTATTCTTTATTTTTTTTTTCCGTGTGAGATTGAGGTTCCATGTATACCCATAAACCAATATTCTTTTTTCTTCTAACTCATCATGTATGACTTTGTAACCAATAAGGGTTGCCCCTTTTTTCGCAGTTATCAAAGAATCTCACCACCTTACTTTTAAAAGAAGAGGTAGGTTTTCAGAAAAATATAGGGGACTCATTTATTTAGTTCCATAATCAACATATCCAAGTATATTATAAGGTGATAAATCTTACATTAATAAGTTCATTGAATGTATTATAAGTTGGTTTGTCACCAATAGGAATTGGACTTTTGTTGACAAGGTGGAACAGAGGATTGAGTCTAATGCATGTATATAGATTATATTTAGATGTAAGGAATGGGGTGCAGGTTGCAGATTGTCTATACATAGCCATGTTTGTTGGATTCCAGTGCAGGAAACCATTAAATGAAGGGTGGTGTCATTGAGAAAAGTTATCATGTTTGAGTGTGTTCTTCCTTCTCCTTCTATGATTGTATCCTCCTTTCTATTCATCAGAATCATCAATTTCAGATCATGTGGTTATACTTCTTGCCTTCACTCTATTACCACATCACTGAAATGCTCTTCTTGTTGCATTGGGTTGCCTCTCCAAGGATTCTTGTATGACCTCTCTTGATTGCCAGAGTTCCTACAACAGTCTTTTGATGGATTTGCCTCTGGCTAGTAGATTCCAGGCTGAAGCTGCAGCAGAATGACTTCAGAAAATTAAACAAAAGAAGAAATATAGTGTTGGTCATTGCTTTTCTAGGAGGGAAATGCTAAGGAGAGGAGCTGAGGTTTTCAATATTTGGTCTGGAGTATGCAGATGCATTCTTGATGCTGATCTTCTGTCACAAGTTTACTGCATATGGACATAACATGATCTCATTAAGGAGACTGATTAGCAATTGCAGGTATAATAAATTGTTATTCAGTAATTTTCAATTTTATTTTTTGAATTGGTGATTGTTTTGTTTTTGGATTTTTCAGCAGTTAGCTGAATTGGCTATTATATAATTGTTGGTTTTACCAGTAAAGCAATGTTTTGTTTGTTTGAACTATAGGATGGGCTCAGTGATAATTAGCAATGGGTAATAAGTGAGGGTTTGACATACTCTTATTGAGATGCATCTATCAGCTTGTATATCTATATTCAATGGTCATGCAGGAAGAAGTGTTAAGAGGACTACAATAAATATAACTGAAAGAAATAATAGAGAAGAGTGATTGAGAGTATCAGCAATTAATTACAGTTTGGAGCCTTATGAGAAATATTTTATTCCACTTCATTTCCAATACATTTTGTCTTTAAGACATCTGAAGTTACAAGAGGACTACAATAAATAGAAATGGAAGAAAGAATGGAGAAGAGTGGTGAGATGTAGGCATGTAACATCAATTAACGAGAGTTAAAGAGGACTTGAAACCTTAAGAAAAAGATTTCGTTCAACTTCAATTCCAATATATTTTTTTCCTCAGACATCATGTCCTGTGTATTTATAGGCTAAAACCAGCTAAAATAGATTTTTCTAAATCATAGGACAGCTAGGCTCAATATTCATCAAATGTGGACAAGGGCTTTATTGTTTTACTCTACTTCCTAAATGGAAGAAAACAAAAAGTCAAATCTAGAGTCCAATTAGAAACTAGATATGGATTTATTCCATAATGCTCTTCTCTAGCCAAGACACTCATTATTCCCCAAATCTTCCATTGTTAGTTACTCAGTTACTCCAAAAGAAGGAATCACAGCAGTTGTTTTTTTTTTTTTTTTTTGCAAATTTGGGACTAAGACTATTAGGCCCTTGGACCAAGTTTCTGTGATCATGTGTAACATTCTTTTGGTGGTGGAACATATGGATCATGTGCCCAGGCATGTATTGTATTGATTGGATGGCATTTTGTAACATTCTAGTGGAGGTGAGGTGTTTCAATTGGTTACTTTCCAGTTTTTGCTTCCAGTAACACTAGAGTTCCTGTGGAATTTTACCAAACATGACCTTGATGGCCTGATTTGTACCATTAGATGTTTTTTCGTCTCTTGGACAATGATTTCAGTCCCTAATTATCAGACTTAGCTCTTCTGTTGGATAGCTTCCTAGTAATTACTGTGACCTGCTTTCCGAAAAAAGCAAAATAAATAATTAAGTAAAATTTAAAAATAAAAAAAAATTATTGTTTTTTATGTGAAAGTGAGGAATCTTTCATAAAAAAATTCCTAGATCAATGTGTTATGGGCCCGGGAATAGGATCTTGTCACGGGTTGGTCCACGGGGAGAACCTCTAGTTTCCCCTTGCCCCTCCCTTTGCGTGCTGACCCTATCGTGGCGACCTAAGGGGTGATTTGTCCAAGAGATCACCCTAACTCTCCTTTACTCCTCTCTTTGACTGAAATTTTGGATGCCTTTATTCAATAATAGTGGCTCCTTAAATAGGAGATTACA